CCTCACGTTATTTCATATTTCAGTCGCCGGAAAACTGACACGGAATAAAAGTATCATTCTTATGAACTTGAGACCTCGGCAGTCGTTCGAGCGGAAGAATATTTGAAGCAAAAGCTATATGGTCATCATTTTATTGTTTTCACGGGTGGCAATCCTTTCAAAGCTTCTTAGTTAAAAAAAAAAAAAAAAAAAAAAATTAACACCGAGAGTACATAGATGACCCTGAGCAGGGCACTTCCAAGAGCGACAAAAGCAAGGCTCAAGTAGTTAATAAGTCTGTGCAGTTTGTAGAGGTAAATCAAGGGTGGTTAGCGGTAGAACAAAAACGTGATGCATATGTTCAAGATATTGTTGCTCAGCTCTTAAATAATAAGTTTCCCGATTCAATTAGTCACATCTACGATGTTAGAAACAATATGCTATATCGAAAAAAAAATTGAGCGAAACAAAGTTAGTCGTTGGTAACCTATCGTCCATCAGTCCCTTGTATGGACTTAAATCAACCATATCCATACTGAGATAGACACGTTTAGTTTCTTGATGGAGTGCAACGCAGGCAGATATTTTTAGGTGTTCTGGGATTTGGTCCAGTCACCTTTTGGGATTTAGTCCTCTAGTTCGGTTACCGTCCACTTTTTCAATCACTAGCGGACGTTTAAAGCTGTCCGTAGTTCTGTCAGGGAACTGACCAATCAACGCCAGTATGTGCTGCAAATAGATATTAGATAAGCGCCGACCATATTTTGAGGTATGCGTAACATACTTCGCCATCACCACATTCCTAAGGCATCAATTCTTTGCCTGTCAACGACTTTCATAGTCCACGTCTTTGCACTATACAGAATCGGATAGCTAGATAGATAGAAATATAGAGAAGGCAAGCGTTCGTATCAGATGCATTTTTGTTCCATTAATAATTTTCCTATCTCTCCAAATTTTATTCAGTGGGGTTATTGCTATTTTGGCCATGTAAATTCTCCTACGGATTTGCATACATTTTATTGGCATACTATTCACATACATAGATATGACTGGGACATTAAGTGGCAAAAGCGACAGAAAAGAAATACGCGTCAGTAATGATTGATTATGTTATCAAGTATGTCCTTTAAGAGCATACTCTATCCCTCGATGCCAGTTGTACTATTAAAGCGTTGAGAAAAGCTGTTTCTCTTTTCGGTGTTCTCAAGCGAATTGTTATATCGGGGAAGGGGCTTTGTAAGCGCGGACTTTAGAGAATTGAGTAAAACACCTCGTATAGAACTTTACTTTATAACAACAGGGGCAAATAAAGCCAACGGTCAAGTAGAAAGGGTCATGCAGATTTTAAAATGTCTGCTAACTATTATAGAAAACGATACCCATAAAACGTGGCGTGACAAACTTCCTGAGGTACAAGGGACGAAACCGCTTAGCATTCAATGGATTCACCGTGCGGGTGCCGGGTCCATCGCGTTGCAGGGAGGGGAGCTTCAGCAGTGCCTGGGTTAACTAACGCGCGTTGTACGCTCACCTCCACTGTCCAAGTTCCTCTCCCTACCTGGCCAAATTTGGAAGGAACCTGCTAGGGCTGCTTTCGACGTACGTTCCGAGAATGAATTAATGTTGATTCTGGACGGGCCCAAGTCTTTTAGTAGGTTGTAGAGAGATTTGGCTGTTATGCCTCTCGATCCCACCTCTACCGCGGACGAACCTATTTCGAGTTAGTTCGTTGGTGAGCTCGTAATACTTAGTGACCTTGATGGCATGGTCTTTGGGGATGTTGGTTTCCCAAGGCACCGTAGGCTCTATCATCACAACGCGCTTTAAAATACGCGAGTATAGAAATGTGTCTGGTCTGGAGGCTGACGCACAAATATCCTCGGGGATTTTGTGTTGTTTCTCATACGTATCCATCATGATAGTCCAATCCGAAGCCGCTTTAAGGATAGAGTAAGGCTTGACGTTTGATTTTATAGCCCTGGTGCTCTCTCTCACAAAACCTATTGATCGCTCGTTTGTGGTTATTTCCCTTTGCGCTCTGGCTACCGAAAGACTAACCGCTTCAAGTATGATCTCTAAAACCCTATAGTGACGACGCGAGAATTGACCGCTGTCCAGGAGAACCTTACATCTCACTAGCAAATGCTTGGCAGTTCCAACTGCCTTTCCGCAGATATAGCAGGTGTTTTCGGTACCTTTACCCCATCTTACTAAATTACTCTGATCTGGGAGAGTCATCTAGCACTTAATAACACAAGCCGTAGTGTTACAGGATATACTCCAACAGAACTAATGTTTGGCATACGCGCGCAATCTTTAGGGATATCATTAATAGCCCAAAATTCAGACGAGCCGAGATTAGATTTAGACAATATCCGGAATAAAACTTCCCTCAACACTGAAAACGCAGATCAAAAGGAAGTAGTTAAATTTAATAAAGGCAAAGCCCAAGTAAAACCTTCTTTTCTTTCTCGGGGAGATTACGTTTTTGTTAAGTGTAGCGAGTGTTACCAAACTAAACTACAAAGAAAGTTTAGGGGACCTTTTATCATAATTAAAATTCTAGACAACGACAGGTACGAACTGAAACATACCGATGAATCTAATCACACTTTAAAATACTCTCATGAAAACTTGCGCGCAGTACCCAGAGGCTTTGAAGGGTTAGTTGACATATCCACTGAACTAGGTAATGAGGAGGCCGAGGCGGCGGGTCATGGAGTGGAGAGAATGGAAACGAAGCTTTGTCAGATGATGAAAGTGAGTAGCTGAGTAGCTCTGATGGCCTCCAACATTGATAAACCATAAATGAGTTGTGTAAGTTTGAGTTGGTGTGTTTGAGGTGGCGATGGAACTGGCTGATGCGGCCGATGTTTCTAGTAGTGATGGATCAAAGCGTGCAGGGGCTGGCTCGATGGAGTCCACGTCCGGTCGACGCTTGATCAGGTTGTGAAGATGGACGGGCTAGCTCGGTGGAGTCTATGTCCGGGTCATCGTTCACTCACATGAGTATAAGTAGTGGAGATGATGGGGCTAGCTCATTGGAGTCTACGTCTCGATCATTGTTCACTGATATGTGTGTGATGATGCTCTGCAGATTGGTCAGACGAAAGTTGTCGTCCGGGTCAGATCCATTTACGTTGGCTGACTTGTCCTGGAACCTCTGCAGATTGTGGTAAGACGAAAATTGTCGTCCGAGTCAGATCCATTTACGTTGGCTGGCTTGTCCTGGAACCTCTGCAGATTGTGGTAAGACGAAAATTGTCGTCCGGGTCAGATCCATTTACGTTGGCTGACTTGTCTTGGAACCCCTGCAGATTGTGGTAAGACGAAAATTGTCGTCCGAGTCAGAGCCATTTACGTTGGCTGGCTTGTCCTGGTTGCTCTGCAGATTGTGGTAAGACGAATAGTGTCGTCCGGGTCAGATCCATTTACGTTGGCTGACTTGTCTTGGAACCCCTGCAGATTGTGGTAAGACGAATATTGTCGTCCGAGTCAGAGCCATTTACGTTGGCTGACTTGTCCTGGATGCTCTGCAGACTGTAGTAAGACGAATGGTGTCGTCTGGTTCAGATCCATTTACGTTGGCTGACTTGTTCTGGATGCTCTGCAGACGGTAGTAAGACGAATGTTGTCGTCCGGTTCAGATCCATTTACGTTGGCTGACTTGTTCTGAATACTTTGAGTATCGTGGTAAGACGAATGTTGTCGTCCGGGTCACATCCACCAAAGGACCGACCTGTCCAATAGTACCTACTAATTGTGAACAGTTAACCTACATGCTGTTAAGTGACAAGGCGTTGTCGTCCGGCTTAATTGTTACGTGATGTTCGCCTTAAGTCTTAAGTATCATAGCACATTTTGATGATTGTAACTAGTCGTTTGTCAGGATGCCGAACGGAATAGACACAACTGTAGTTCATTGATCCGAGAACCGCCCGAGGACGGTCGGATGTCAGTCCGGCCGTGACGGCGCATCCGTCAAAAATCATACGTCAGGTTGACTTTTAGCTGTCTGAGGTTAGCCTAGTGAAGCGTCATTGTCGTTGGTAGCGAGGGCGGCCATCTTTATTGGACAGTGTGGTTCGGGATGACGCCCGCGCACCGCGCTCGTGACGAATCGCTGTGTATCGAAGTGATAGTGATATCTAGTGTTTCGATTGAGTTGGTGTCGTATTGAATAGACTGTACTTTATCCCTTTCAAAGTATGAGTTCCCATGAAGGCCCTCCTGTTCTTATAACGCCCTCCTACATATAAATCTGTAAATTTATCAATAAATATTTGTATTTAGAAAGTTATATTTACAAAACAATTTTCCATAAAAAATTAACGTGAAAAAATTATGAAAAATAAAATTATTTTTCTTATTAAAATAGCCAAAACATAACTACTATATTATAAAAACATTCATAAAAAACCAATAACATCAATAAATACTCACGAATGCCATTTGCTAGTAAATAAACCTTATAATGTCTTTAACCTTGATCAAAGACATTTTTATAATATTTAATACAAAAGAATTTAAAATATACATATATGAAACACTACAGATGTGATTTTTTACCAATAGAAATTAGGTCCCTGTTCGTCAAGTTGTCTAATAGGATTACGGCAAAGCAAGTCTTTATTTTTGAAATTAACCGATGATACAAAACATTATTTACACCTAAAATATTTCATAATATTCTGAAATTAAACCATGTTTGCTCTGTGATAACGTGCCTTTGGTTTCAGACACCATTTGAATCAGGTATCACTAGTAATTAAAATATATAAAAAATCTTTCTTTCTACATATATTCTACAACATTTGCTAATTACAATTTGCTAATTACGATTCTTACTTTATAATAGTACATGTTTACACTTAATTGAATTTAAATTAATCATCAAATTTATTTGATGATAAAAAAATAGCATGTTATCTATATGAGATATAACAAATGTATAAATATAAAAATATGTAAGAAGTTGATTCATTTGTAACGTAGATTCCATAATCAGATGTAGGATCATGGAAAGCCTAATACAAAATCTTGTGTTATTAACTTTATTATTTGCTAAAACAGATACCGCTCGGATTTTGGCTTATTTTCCTACACCATCACTAAGTCACCAAGTTGTGTTCAGACCTATTACACAGGAACTAGCTAGAAGAGGTCATGAAGTGTTTGTGATTACAGCGGATCCTGCGTTCCCGAAGAACCAAACGCCTCCACACCTGACTGAAGTAGACGTTCATGATATTTCTTACCCGCCTTGGAGGAAAATATTGCAAGTAAATCGAGGAAAAAAGCTTACATTGTCGGAGCAAAGACTCTTCGTTGAAACTTTCGCTGAAATATTTGATGCTCAAATGCAGTTACCTGAAGTGAAGAACCTTGTTAATAAGGATAGAAATTATTATGATTTACTTTTACTTGAATCTTGCAATATAATAGTGTTTGGAGTTGGTCATAATTTTGATGCGCCTATTATTAGTTTAAGTTCATTTGGCGCTTCGTCATACCAATACTATGAAATGGGAGCGCCAACACATCCGATTTTGTACCCTAGTCCCGAACGGTTAAGGTTGTATAACTTAACGCTTATAGAAAAAGTCATTGCAATCACATGGGAAATAATGAAACAGAGTTTCTATTTCAAATTAGATGAAATGAATGCTCCTGTTCTTAGAAAGCACTTTGGAAATGATGTTCCAACTGTAACTGAGTTACAAAAATCGGTTAAAATGTTATTTTTAAATGAGCATCCGATATGGAGTGATAACCATCCAGTTCCTCCAAACGTTATTTATATGGGAGGAATTCATGAAAGTCCAAAAAAACCACTACCCCAGGTAAGCACTATGAACATTTTTTTTAATCTTCTGTCTATTTTGTAACGGACTCATAAAATTGTTCATACAAACTTCTTGTGTAAGTACAATAATATTATATTTTTTATAGGATTTAAAAGACTATTTGGACAAGTCTTCAAATGGAGTAATATACTTCAGTTTTGGAACCAATGCGCTGCCTTCTGTTCTACCACCGGAAAAAATAAAAATTCTTACAAACGTATTATCTCAATTACCTTATAATGTATTATGGAAGTGGGATGGAAATACTTTGCCAGGACAGTCAAAAAATATCAAAACATCCAAGTGGTTTCCGCAAGCTGATTTACTCAGTAAGATAATAACCTATTAGTTTTAAATTTATAAGATGATATCTGTTTATATTATTTTGACTATAGTAATTGACTTACAATTAGTTTTAAATACAACCATACAAATTAACTTTTAAACACCTACGTACTTGTTCGTAATGAGAGATGTGCATGCTTAATCATGTAAAAATGGACCTTAAATACAGACAGATAATATAATCTTTCTTCTATTTATTGCAGGACATCCAAATGTAAAACTATTTATAACTCAAGGAGGTTTACAATCTACAGACGAAGCTATAAACGCTGAAGTACCTCTGCTTGGTATACCTTTGTTTACAGATCAATTTTATAATACAGAAAAATATGTTTACCATAAAATAGGCATGCAACTAGATATCGAATCCCTCAACGAAGATAAGCTAAAACAAGCAATTATCACTATCATTGAAGATGAAAGGTAATGAGTATGATATTTATCAATTGTTACAGCATTGTTTCATTTGTATGTAGTGAAATTTTAAAATCCATCTCCTAATATTTTAGCTACAAGAAAAATATTCGAAGACTTAAGGAACTGATGAGACAATATCCCATAGAGCCTTTGAATCTCACTATATGGTGGATAGAACATGTGATTAAGTACGGAGGTGATCATCTTCAAGCGCCGGCAGCTGGGTTATCTTGGATGGAATACTACGAAATCCCGTTGTTATGCTTAATTTTAAGTATCTTATTTGTTGTTTTAGTTATAGCTATCTATACTCTCAAATTTTTGTATCGTTACCTCGTTAACTCGTTACATATAAAAAAAGAAATTAAGATAAAAAGTAATTGATTAATTCTTTGAATTAAGTTAGTTGAATTTTTAATGTTATTAATAAGTGTTAATAAATTAATTTATTATTAAAGTGTCTATATATTAAATGGTATCCTTTACCATACATAACAGTTACTGTAAGGCTTAAGATTAGCAGACAGTCTTATATTCACACACAAACAATCTTAGAAAATAATAAATCAACAGTAATAGACATAAATCCGGTAATAGCAGCTTGGAAGTTTCACTATTATCACGATTTAATAGGTAAATTCAATGAAACATCAAGTTTAAAATACCTAACCTCCACTGGTCATTTAAAAAACTGTTACTTTGTGTATAGCTTCTAATTCAATTAATATATTTAAATATATTATAATCATTTTACTATTATCATTATTCAATGTATTATTTTCATCAAAATTAGCTTGAAAATCGATTTAGAAATGTAAATGAAGTTAAGTGGAGAATCAGAACACGTTAGTCGTTTTGCAAATTATAATGATATTAATGTAACTTAGATATGTCTCAAACATTGATTTCCTATACGTGCGGTGTCAATTATTATAATTTGACTTGGTACGCAGCACTCGTTAAAAAAAAAACAATGTTCTCGAATACTTGATCCACAACCATAAAGCGCCCTATAACGATTTATTTTCGAGATTTCAGCCACTTACACTTCCTACGCACGAGCCATTTTCGTATCCCATAATATCGCAAAAGAGTTTGAAAGCATACATTCTTTCGAATCATTTTATAACATATAAATATAATATAAGTGACCAGAAATAAAAATATAAATAAAACAAGTATTTTAGCATTAAAATACGAGTATATTAACAATATACAATTATTCTAAGTTTAATTTAATTTTACAATACGCACAGAATTATGTACTTCTTATACACATAATTTAATGGTAAAAATTATTACTCTGCATTACTTCTCTATGATAAGGGGATTTAATTTATATATATAACATTTACAGCTTTATATATAGCTATCAGATGTCGGAATAAAATATAAAAATGGGCTATCTGTCTGTTTGTTTCAACTAGGTCCTGAAATTGTAGATCGATTTTGATAGAACTTAGAATAGGTAAAATCATAAAGAAAAACTTAGACTACTCTAATCGACCTTAAAAATGATTGAGCTCTTCATTCGATTGTACGTTTGTTAAATTGTAACTCCTTCAATTGTACTCTCATTTTCGAGATAATTTTTTCTCAAAGGGTATATAATCTTTAAGTAGTCAATCCCATTGTAACAAAGTCCAAACATAATGAAAGGGTCCTAGTGAAATCGAATAAAATCTCATAAGGATTTACATCAAAAGAAATTTTTGTTATTAAAACTAAAAATAATTTAGTATGGTGTAAAAATTATTAATAGTGTTATCACGCACTGTATAGATTATTTTCTACGTTATTTTAGTTTTAAAGCTATTAGTTTTTTATACATAGTATACTCCATTTTACTACTCAATCCATTCCTTTGATATTTATATTGAGGGGCTTGTGAAAATATGTGTAGTTTTACACTTTGTATCGGCGGCCATGTACTATTTACATTTATACCGAATATAAAATATTTTATTGTCATAAAAAAAACGGTTTAAAAATAACTTTGCCATTAAAAACAAAATAAATATTGATCTATCAACAGGAAAGAAGTAAAATTTTAAACAAACAGGTCCAGGAAAATTAAATCGCCTAAAACTTACCGTATTCAAATAAAACATTTTGTGATATTTTGAATGATTGGTTAGCAGTTTATTAAATAATAAAATATTATGTTGGTTTTTCGTGATATATTCATTTTCATATAAAATTTATTATCTTTTTACTATTCAATATGTAGGTCTGTTACTGAAATTGATAATATTTTAAATATATTTTTTAATACATATAAATCGGTAGCAGTATTGGACTAAGGCTTAAGTTTGTAACTTTTACTAGCTGAACAGTAAATACGTAAAAAAATATTATGCTTGTTTTTTTTATGGAAAAAGTTTAGAAAATATAACTTAGCTCACTTGTGTTCATCTTTCTTGAATTGTGACCACGACTGGAGTCATCGCCTTGGATGTGTAAGAAATGTGAGAAATGTTGCTTTTCGTTCCCTCCACCATGTGGTATTTGTACTTTACGTGAATTTTAGCCCTTTACCGACTGCCAATAGCAAAAGACGTAAAGAAATATTTTTAGAATAAAGAAAACATCGTAGCTTGAAAGACAAACGCATAAGATCATCTTACCAATAGGTCCACTGTCTTCCATCGATTTCCTCTTCAATTATTAAGCGAAACTTATTGTTATTCCTAATTTTGCGATTACAACTTTATCCAATAAGTAGATTTTATAAATAAGATGCAATTTAACTACTGGGAACAACAGGTAATTGCTGGGTAAGACTAGGAATATCTGTTACTAAAAAGTTTATTTAATTACCTATGTATATATTACCTAAACATTTTGTTAATAAAAATGTTAAGTTTAAGAAAAAAAATGAGTTCTTAAAAAAACTCATAGTACATTCTAAATCACAACTAAATCTTGAAATCGATTCTATGATTACTTCTTTGAAAACTTAAAATCGCTTCTATAATTATAGCTTGTGTAGCGCTATCGAGATCATCCATCTGGAACACGCCATTGTCTACGTTTTCGCTTGCTTTCCTTTGTTTTTCTTCCATTTAATCCCTTTTTTGATGCGAAAGTGAAACAAGACTATGAAAATGTTAGGCTGTTTTAAATTTTGCACAAAAATAACACGTAAGAAGTTTTGTTATTATGTATTTACAATGTATATGATATTTTTTTGTATTGCTACTTCTACTAGTGTTTTGTTTACATATTTTTGATGATTGTTTAAGAAAATGTTTACCAATAGGAACAGTGATATTCAAAATATCATAAAGATTAGTCCATGTCACACTTTTGCATAGTCTTGTTTTAGAAATGCTGAGTACGTGTGGTTGGCGAGATGCCAACTGCATCAAACCCATACCACTTACCTGTATGGTGCGGGAGATTATGAATGTGAGTGCTAATCAAACGGAGTATTGGTCTGAGTTTTATTGTGCAACCTTTATCAAACTTGAAGTTTGACAAATGTTTACCTCAAATTTGAAATGTATTCTTATAACTTTTTAACGTCAGATTCTATTCACGTTTTCAGATTTAAACAATTATAAATGATTGCGTAATAAGCAAAACTAATTTTCTTTTAAATATGACAAAATTGGATACAAACAAAAAAGTGTATTGTAGGTTTATGAAAACACAAAACCTTCTTATTCTTTTGAGATGATAAGCATTATTATAGAACTTTGGAAAATAATATTTGATTGTGGTTAATAAAATCTATTGATTTCAGTTTAATTATTCTTATTTAAAAATGTTTGATAATAATTAATAAGCATCCGACAAGATAATTTACTATTAATTTTAATCAGATAATTGAAATACGATAAACGAATACATATTTAAAACACGTTATAATGACCATACTTATTGGTAATTATTAAGAGTAATAATAATTTCAATCTAGTTCTTACCGATGATTTGGTAAAAGATGTTCTAACTTTACCTACTTAACTCGAAATATTTTCTTATAACATATATTCTTTGACTGAAATAATTTGAACACAGATTTCTAATAGAAATAAGCAAAATGTACATATGTCGCACTAACAATCGATTAATAGTAAAACTGAAAGTACATCATACCCATGCGGTTTATGAAGGAATTTCACACACAAACAGATTTTACTATTAAGAAGAAATGTTGTTAGTTTTGGTCACTTACTGATGTTTATATCTCATGTTACAGTTGAGTAGTTGTACGTTGGAGTGTAATCATTACTAGGTTCGAACTTAGGTCTACGAGTCCCTTCTCATTAATTAATTATAGCAATACCACTGACTATAAATTATAATACAATAATATAATTTATAGTGGTGGCCTAGTGGTTAAAAGGCCCGCCTCTCATGCACGAGGGCGCGGGTTCGATCCTGGCAAGTACCAATGTGATTTTTCCCAGTCATATGTACTTTCTAAGAATAATTATTCTTATAATATTAATTAGACATCACTGATTAATGCATTCCCAAAGAGGGTTAATGTCAAGCAGGCGGCCGGTCGTGAAAACAATTAGCCAAAACTATTCACAACATGTAAGGCAGACCCTGGCTAAAGCTGGGAAATTGCTAGGAAGAATAAGAGGAATAATTATAGCAATACCCTCTTAGTTTTCTACATGTTTCTAGAACTCGATAAGAAAATTTTGATATTCAGATTATGTAAAAAAGTCTTATGTTGTTTCACTCATTTGAGAAAATAGTAGGTATAAAACACCCTTAAGATGATTTCTAAATATTAATCGACAATATTACGACTTAATAAACTTCTTAATTTTATTCATTTACACTCAGCAAGATAAAAATGGAAAAGAAAATTACAATAAACCAAAAATAAGATGTTAACACGGTAAACCGGACACAATCAATAGTCCCTTAAATGTCGCCCAACTTAAACGACTTCTTAAAAGAATCTGGTTGTGACAAGGAGTGCTATTCAAACCCTTTCCAACATATGCACAGATTTCTACACAATATACATACAAATATTTTCCTCAGCCAACACGAAGTTTTACGTGAAGTATTTTAGAGAATGAGTTGTACTGATTAAGGTTACATTATGTTAAAGCCGGCGCTAGTATCAGCCGATCAAAAATAATTCTGATAGACGGCATTTTCATTAATTTTCATTTAATTTATGAATTTCTGTGAACACTTGCATTGAGTAATATATTAATGAAAGTATGTAAGTAAGAACATAATAATATATATGTTCATAGCTATTTTATGGGCAAGGAATGCAGAACTGATAAGGATGGAGTGTATGCCACTACTCGTAGGTAGTTAAAAACGGGTAGAGAAAATCGACGAATTTTTTTTTGGTCTGATGATAACAATAGATATGGATGAAGAAGATCCCTTGAGGTTTTGTATTCAACCAAGCGATACTTAATAGGAAGGCTTATAGACTTTTTGTGTTAAAAACCGCGTACATCCGTCTCAATATTGAGTTAAATATAATTAACTATTATATTTTACTCAATGTATTTGATGCAAAATATATATCTTTTATTAAAATATATAATCGCATAAAAATAAAAATATTGGCCAGAATATTTTCACTGTTATATTAACATGGAGTGTTTTAATCAAAAAAGCCTTATATTATGATAAAATACCAAAAAACGAAAAGATTAGGAACCACTGAGGTATAAACAAATGTTTATGATATAAACAATTTATGAAGGAAAGAAACAAATAAGAAAATACAATAATAATACAAAACCTTATTTCACTTCTATTGTTTTAAAGATTTAAAACAATAAGTACAAATAAAATTAAAATTATTTTGATTTCAATCTCCATGTCACTGTATTAATGAGTAATTGTTATTGAAGCTAATTGATGCTAATGTGTTACCGCAATACCTACAAGATTTCATAACCTGTTTCCTAACTATTTAATTATTACATTTATTTGGTTAGTTACATTTGAGTCATCAATATCAGACAGACAAAACTAAATCATAAGTATATATGTATGTATATATATTATATTCTTCTTTTTAACCAACTACATTTTCTAATTATATAATATATGTTTAATGTTCTCCATAAAAAGTACATAAATTAATTTCCAAATCAATACTGCTTAAACTAAACTACCACATATATTAATTTTAAAATACTAAGCCATTATTTCTTTATACATACAATCAGTGGTGACGTGGAGAAAAGCAAAAATTTGTAGTAGTAGTAGTACAAAAGTATTTGTTTTTATCTAAAAGTTAAATAATAAACGAAATACTTGAATATTTAAGTTGCGAAATATTATATTTGATACGTAGTATTCTATAACACTTTTATTTTTGAAACCCAACATAAATCACATGTTTATGGACAAAGCTGTGATGCAAAGCGAATTCATAAATCTCTGTCTTGAAATTTATATGGTGTCATATTTTAATAGGATAACTATTACACTTTGTTATATTATACGTCTATTTTGATCTATACCCCACATCATGTTTTGGTAAAATTGCTTTCATCAAATTTATGCTTTGGACGTGGCTTTTACTCATCTGAAATAAAGTGGTTTAGAGATAAGAGTTTAATTTCATGTTATCTGTGGTGGGAGTAGCATCCTGTTTTGTAAGACTATACGCAAGAACATAAATTTGTTTATCCTCTAACACTTAGCTGATAGGATTATTTTTAATATCAACATTTAAGTAAGCAGCTAAGGAATCTAGTCTTTTTGGTTAGTGTATGGTACTGTAAAACTTTTTTACATATATAGAACTGAGGTCTTAAAAAAATTAAAAGTTTATTTTAACATTTCATACATTAAGTGAAATTGTAACGTTTATATTATTGATCCGAGTTTTTATCAAAATTTGCTAGCATTGATTATTAATATTTAAAACAGTATAAGGTCATAAATCTAAAACGTAACTTAGTAGGTAGGTTAGGTATATATTTTTTTAATACTATTGTTAGTCTGGTTTGTTTTAAATCTTTTGTATATCTACATCATACTTTGATACTATTGAAAAGTTGTTTTATCAATATTTGGTACCTTTTGTAAAAAAATATAAAATAACTTTTAAATGATTAATTTGGATAAAAATATTTTTTTTACGAATTTATCTGTTGGGTAAACCTTTCAAGGATGTAGCTTGGATAAAGAATTGACGTCAACTTTAGACCGAATAAACTCAAAAACATTTGGTCTGATTTGTATCAAATTTGGCGTGGAGTTTGTTTAATGTCTAGACAGTGGCGTAGAGTAGCTTTCCGAAATGTCACAATAATGGAAAATGTATGGGTGAATCAGATATGTTTAACAGACACGTTTTTATTGTTCTAGATAGAATAAATCTACAATTTTTTATTGTTCTCATATATTTCTCTTTCATATCATTTACAGATCCGAGTTTTTTATCATATTTATCCCTTCAGTATTACGGATGGACCATAATTTCGTTTACTATTATGTCGTTTATGGTTCATACAGAAAAGAATACAGTTTTGAACTGACGTTTACGGTAAAATTTACAGTTCTATGATAAAAATAAGCTTTTAAAGAAATTTAATTCTAAAAACCTCACTCCAACAACTCCATTAAGATCAGAAACCCCAAATTATAATCTTTGTACACCGCTTACGTATGCAAACCTAAAATACACTTCTATTAATGTGGGTAAAATGCTGAGACTATTCAACATAAAAAGCTTGAAAAGTAATTAAAAGATCTTATTATTAACACTATCATGATGTAACTGTAATAGTGATAAATCAATAACTGGGTCAAAAAAATATTTGAAATAAAACAGGTTATTACATATATACATAATTTATTTTTAAAAAATCTCCATAGTTTATTGAAATGCATATATTAATAAAACAAATTCTGAATTATTTATACCTAAAATTTGCGGCAGTTTTGTACCTTAGGTTATCTATTAAAGTTCGAATACAATTTATTAAATTCCTTTTGATTTTGAAGCACAAAACAGGTACTTTATCTACAGAAGTTGGTTGCAATATTACGAAGTGTTTACTACTGTAAGACGTGTTTTTAAAATATATTTAAGGAGCAAAATATTTTGTATCCGTTTAGTTAGAAACTTATGTTAGAGAGAGTATGTAAGTCAATGATATTAGAATAATGAAAGAAGCTCTTGTAAGAGCTTAAGAGTATAATGGTAAGTACTTATTAATTATCTTTCATGAGACATGGTGTTTACCTTCTGTCAACTAAATAATTAAAATGTATCGTGTGTATGTATTGACATCAATTTTCTAAAATTCTATAAAAGTTTCCGTCACTTTTTATTGGTTTCATACTTTCCATGTTGCTTTATGGTGTAATTATTTTGTATTTATATTATGATTATGACCACCTGTAGATGTCAAATAAATATGTTTTTTGTGTTTAAATAAATAAAGTATTTCCATTATTGTTATATACTAACGTTCTAGAAATGTGACAGAATATCTGTTAGTTAATACATAAGAAATAATGAT